AAAGACTTTAATATAAGCATCCAACCTGTTATTGATCAATGGCATTTTTAAAAGACCGGCCCACAAATTAGAGAAATTATAGATGCAGCTCTCTTTGTAAAGTCATACAAGAATATAAGAGATCTGGGTATTATATTCCGAGATCAACTTTTAGACAAAGAGGTGAAAAGACTTTTAACATGGCAGCAGCTCAAAATAGCAAAAGGTAAAGCCAAAGTAGGGCAAAAAGCTAAGTGGTTCTCAGCTATAGAAAACATTTTACTAGAGAATTTCGTAAACAGAAAGATCAAAGAAATATATCAAACATTAGGGCCAAACAATCTTGCGCCAGTAATGCCAGTAGTGTCAATTTCACCAGACAACAGAAAAAAAGAATGGATCTTGTTAAACAAAGAAAATGAGAAATTAAAGACGAGAAAGATTATAAAAAAAGATAAAAGCAAAATTCTCACAGAGCATTGGGCAATAAAAGAAAATAGCTTGTCGACAGGATATGTTGAAGTAGAGCAGGTTACTGAAACATCACCATCTGAGCAAAATGGAAAATATAGCTGGATTAACCAGAACAATATTCTTACAGTAATCTCAAAGCCGCTACAAAAAAATAATTAAAAGCATATTCCTAGATACAAAAATATCTTGCCTAGCAAAATCAGCAAGTTTAAATCGTTAAAATTCAGTAGTGAAGAAAGGGTATTATGTGAGTTACAGATCTTGGAACTATTAGACAAACAGCTGATATTAGATCAGAATTTTAATATAGATTTGGCAAGTAATTTAGAAAATAGTTTAGATTTTAATATCAGTAGCAATAAAAATAACTTTTGGGTATATACAGATAGGTCATTAATTTGAGAAATGGATAGTTGTAGTATGGGTATTGAATAGGTACAGGTAGATGAAAAACAAGAAAAGTTAGAAGAGTTTTGCAAAATTAGAAAATTAGCCATTATTGACAAAGCCTGAGCTCATTGCAATCTGGCTAGCTCTTTTCACCATTCCAACAAGTAGTAATATCTAGATCTTTTCAGACAGTGCAGTAGCGATCACCAGTATAGAAAAAATTAAGAGTGAATAGATTCAACAGAATTTTCAAGAAAAAGAACTGGGACATTCTAATCAAAATAGCAAATCTTATTAAAGCGAAAGGGATTAGCTTAGAACTCAAAAAGATTAAAGGCCATAGCAACAACAAGTAGAATAATAGAGCAGATACATTAGCAAAGAAAGCCACATCTTTGTTTTATTCAACGAACATCCACTTGGATCAGAAAACAAGAATCTTATTTCTGCTATTTTGGGGTGATCATAAAATTGAAAAGTCAATCAGACCCACTCTTAAAAAATTCTTCGAAACCTGGAATAGTACAAACTGGCGATTAACAGAGTCAATTAGAGCTATAGAACCTGAAACAAATAATCCTAAGTTAGATTGGTACACATACTGGAAAAGGATAAAGAAATTAAAAGGTGTAAAGTGTAACATACTGCAGAAAAGTAAAAAACTTGCAACTTAGTTAAAATGCCTCTCAGGAAATTTACCAGTGCTCAAAACCTTAGGAACAAGAAGACCAGACATCTATACAAGCAGTAATTGTATAGTATGCAATAATAGTACTGCAGAAACCCAAGATCACTTAGCAGTATGTGTTTATTACAAGGCAATTTGGCAATGTATTGAGAACACAGCAATTGATCTAGTATGGTCTAAACTCACAAAAGATGAAAAATATCTTTGTTCAAAAAGACTACTTCATGAGATTTTAATTGGAGTTACAGAAGCCAACAAAAGTGAAAAAAGAAAGTTGTGGATTAAAGGCTTATCTACTATTGACTCTTTTGACAGAATCAAGAACCTCTTAAATTCGATGAAAATGACTGCAAATTCAATAGAACTCGCTACGCATATGATCTGGAATGGTTTTTATGACTTTATATAGAAAGACAGATGCATCAAGGTTAATGAATGAGAAAAAGAGCAAAATATAAAAAAGAAAGACAAGAGAAAATCGATTGATAACGAAAGTAGCATGCCGTTCAGTTCTAGAAGAAAAAAGAACAAAGATAGAGTTAAAGAAAAGGAAGTATTATTAAAGAAAAAGGAGACGAGAAAAACATGGTATGATGCTATTTTGAGTTGGATACAAAAGAGTGTAAATCTCTTTTGGACAAGCTTTTGAGGAGAGTATTTTTTCTAGCTTATCCGTAAGCTAGTGCGATGGGTTGCACCTAGGTACCTTCATAGGCAACCAGGTGAAGTCGGGCTTTTAGTTAGTCTTAGAAATAAATATATATAAATTAAATATACTAAAAACTAAGAGATCAAGTCATAGCAAGACCTGTTAAAGAAATAAAAAAAAAAAAAATAGAAAAAAAGAAGATTTATAATTATAATAAATTTAATAGTAATTTGTATATATAAAATACTATTCATCTTAGACGGATTAGTAATTAAATTTTTTTTTACTTAATAAATATTAAATTGTTTTTTTTTTTCCAACTTTGACGATTTTGCTATAACATTTATTTACTTACTTAATAACAGGTTATACATACTTCCATACATAATATTTGTCTAACTAAATATCTGAAACGACATTACTCAGCTACTTTCTGGCACCCAAATGCAACCACCTACACTCCTTATGTATGAGTTGAGTTAACTCGAGGCCTATATTACAAAGCACCCTAATTCTAACTTATATTCTATCTTATCATATATATCTTGCTATATATACTACTGTACAACATCTAACCAGTTATAATTTCTCTCTAATCACTTAATGTATTACTCCTAATTTGTATTTTGTATAACTTCCAAATTGGTGTTCTAGGAGTGATACTCTTCTTGTTTTCAGTTTGGTGTCTCTCGAGATAGTACTGTAGTTTCTAATTCATATCTCAAGCCAGGTGCTGCTGCCGTCTGAAGACCCATATCTCAAGCCACCTGCTGCTACCATTAGGAGAGCTATTCCGCATATTCCAGGTATTCATGTCTATACTACTAAATTAGGCTACCAATCCTGCACTGTACTACCTCTTGGTATAGTGTTTGCAGGAGTTCAGAACCTTAGAATGAGAGCTATATATCTCATTTAATCACTATCACAAGCTAGTAACCTGGGATTCTTCATCCTGACATATTTTATCATAAATTTCCATATAGGTTGTGCAGCTTATTACTTACTAGCTAATTTACTTGTATTCATGCTTTCAGAGTTTCATTTAACTGATCTTTATTGTTTTACCTTGTATTAGAGATGTTTTATATTTGGTAAAGCCATTCTCTTACCACAGCCCCTTGCTAAGTTCACCACTTCATCCACTGCTTCAGGTAATACCGCATATAACCATCTTTCCAATTAAGATCCCAATGCTACCTTAGGGTTGTTAGTGCTACCTTGCCAATTGTGAATTCACACACACAGCTTTCTGCAGTACAGCCTTCTATGACCCATATTACACACAATGCCCAGACTTCTCCTTAACTCAGAGTTTCTTCCAAGAATTCTTTATAGGCCAAATATATACTTCACATGGTCTTACTACCACAAGGTTTCGCATTCGAAAGCTCTTGTAGGTTACAGAGATAATTAATTAAATTAACTACCACCAGCTATAATTAAACTGTTAACCTTATCTGTGAAGAGTTAGGCACCTAGTATAGGACTCTAATCCTTTTAAATCGCTTTTTTAATTTTTATTAATCATCAATAAATCAAATATCTTGTATATACTGTATATATAATTTGCAAATTCTTATTGTAAATCTAATTGATTAATTAAGTTATACTTTGATTTATAATACACTATATTGTCATATATAATATTGAGGTAGTTTACTACTTCTTGATAAAAATAGCTTTCTCTTGGGATTTTTTTTTTGTTTTTCTTCTTTTTTTTCTTTGATTTTTCTTTTTTGTTTATTTTGTTTTTTTGAGATATAGTTTTTTTTTTTTTTTTTATTAATAAATGATTTTGTATTGTCTATATAAAATCATTGCTTTCTTTTGTTTTTGATAGAAAAAAAAGAATTGAAGAGATTAGCTTTTGATAGGTTGACAAAGTTTATCCAACTTATATAAAAGTTGGTATAACAAGTTGCTGATAGACACATTTTATTACAGCCATGAAATGCTGAACTTGCAACTTTGTAAAACTTGTTTAGTTTAAGAAGAAGTGCTTGTATGTTCAAGATGGTTTATCATCACTAATTAAATAAAGTTTTTGTATTTGAGCTGCTATCAAAGAGCTAATAATAATAATAATAATAATAATAAACAGATCAAATGAATTCAAATGAAATTAAATCATAGAATATACAGAATATATATATACTTTCCAAACTCAACATATATAATTTAAAATTTTACAGTTCATTATGTGTTAGGGCTTATTATAAAAAAAGTTTGTTATAGAAAGCTTCGGTGTAGATGGATTTATAAATGAACCTTATTAATTACCAAATTGACACAAAATAATTCAAATGAAGCAATAAAAAGATTATAGAATTCTAAAAATAATAGGAAGAACAAAACTCTCGACACAGTGAAGATTCATTATAGTATTACGGAATTATTAAACTAGATATAGATCCAACTTTCTTTATAACGAACTTCTCTATAATGAACTCTGGAAATAATGTAATAAAAATTTTAAATTTCATATTAATTTGGTATAAAGAGTTATGGCTCTTAAGAAAAATAATAAATTTATATAAAGAACAGAACCAGCGTTTGTTATGGAGAAAGTTGACCGTTTATACAGTAGTTTCTTTCGATATAGGCTGTAGTAAATATTTTTCTCAATCTGAGGTTTTACTATAACGAGAACGAGTTGTAATAATGTTTATTGTATTATCAACATAGAGACTAACTTTATAATAAAATACAGTAATTGAGATCAGGAGGTCGAGGATCATGTGACTGCATCCTCGATTGGTATATTACCAATGATCACATACAGCTGTACAGTACGTACCATCGTACTATCATACTATCATGGATACTCGGGATACTCGTAGAAAACATCGGTTGGTATTAAAGCATAACGGTATTCTCACTACACGCATTATATTAATTTTCAATTTTGTAGACCGATGGAAATTTCGTCGAAGAAACCTGTAGGGCGCTTTCGACAAATAATAGAGATTCCGTCGCATGTATGCAAATGTTTAAAAAAATTTCATTTTTACTCCTATTTATTTATTTTATTTTAAAAAAACAGATAAAGAAAAGACGAGATCCACGTTTCGACGATCTGTCGGGAAAATTTAATGAAGATTTATTTGAAAAGTCATATAGTTTTTTAAATGAATATAAAAGATCCGAGATTGAAGAAGTTAAAAAGAGTATAAGTAAAGAAAGAGATCCAGAGGAAAAACAAAAATTACAACAACTTTTAAATAAATTGGTATTTGAAATCATCTAATTTTCATCATTATAATACATTTAACTATTAAATGCAAAAATAATTAATTTTATTCATTCACATACTCAAATTGTAAGCAATCTAGAATTGCACATGAAAATGATTTAAATCGAAAAAAGGAATTAAAACAAGAACGAAAAAAGAAAGAACGTGAACTTATTGCTCAAGGAAAATCACCATTTTATATCAAGAAATGTAAGATCATTTTTAATCAAATAAATTTATTTACCATTATCAATCGTTTTCATTAATTGACTGTCATTAATAATATTGTTATGTTCATCAATATAGCCGAAGAAAAGAAATTGGAACTTGTTGACAAATTTAAAAAATTACAAAAATCTGATTCAAAAGTGCTCGATAGAGTTATTGAAAAGCGAAGGAAAAAGAACGCTTCAAAAGAGCACAAATATGTCCCGTTTAAACGACGACGCAAAGTAGATTTGTGAAATATGATTAATAATACAGTCTGCCTCCATACATTCACACCTTCTTAAGCACACTAATTTTTAGAACAAACTTATATATACATAAAACATAAGAAATTTGACCTCTATACAGGCACAATTTCTTATAAGCACAGAACCAAGAGCGTGACTGTAGAAAGGTTTGACTGTATTTAATAACTTAAGTAGGTAGGTAGGTTTCACAAACGTTCTAAATGGAACAAAAAATGAAAAAAAATAAAAATAAATTGTTATATCGAATTTATATATCTAAGATGGCTGAGGGATTAATAATTTGACTTATTTAAAAGTGTTCGCCGCAGGGTATTACGCCTTTAGTCCCGCAAAATTCTTATTATATAGTGTTTGTGACAATACAGATATTATAAATATCTTATACAAAATTTATAAGATTCTAAATATTGGAAGTTTGTTGAATAAAATAAAGTTAACAACAGTTTGTAAACTCTCGGAGGTTTATTAATTTTATTACACGTACAATTTTTATGGTAATTTGCCGGAATAGGGGCTGAATTTAGAATCGCGTGTAAAAAGGCAAAGATGTTTCATATGACAGTTTTTTCGATTGCCATTTTTAGAGTTGGTTTGTTTATAATCTGGATTTTAATAATGTGGTGTGACTTTTCTATCACGGGAAAATCTACATATAAGTAACAATTTTGAACTAATTATTCTATCAATCGATTAAAGCAAATTTGTCCATAAATCTCTCTTTTAATTTATAATCGTTATGGGTTTAAACTTCTTAAACTTGGAAGACCAGCTTGCATTTTACGGGCAATATCATAACAATAAGGTTAACGTTGCTATTCATATCGGTACAGGGCAGCTTTTATTGTTTGACATAGACAGTTTAAATTTTTAACGGTTATCTCGTTTGATAAGTTTACAACCTATCTTGCTATGCTCACTTTCGTCAAATTTTAGTATTTGTTCCTCTCATCTTATGGACCACTTTAGTCGTGGCTGCAAACTCGGGTCCATTACTACCCTATGATCCAAATTCAGTGTTGAATTTAATTCCATTGGTTCCAAATGCGGCACTACTTATCGTGTTATTTTATATTACATTTTATCTATTGCTAGAGCCCGTTGCAGGGGTGAGTTCTAATTATTGATTAGAGATCAATTCATCGTTTATTTCAAATGAAATATCAATTCATCAGTTATCGTTATGTTTCCTGATTCATCATATAGGCTCTCTATGCCCCCCTCTTATTATACCTGGCATATAATGCCACAAATTTTGCTGCCGCCTACCCTAATAACATCACAATTGCCTCAATTGTACATGTTATTTCTTGGATCATACAATTTATTGGTCATGGATTTTTTGAGAGAAGAAGTCCTGCGCTAAAAGATAATGTGGTGCAAGGTTTGCTCTTTCCGTTTATCTTTATTATTTAAAGATATATAACTGTATAACATAAATTTTAAGCTAATTATATTCATACTTATTTATGAAATAATTTAATTTTATTTATTATTCGGTAGCCCTCCTTCTCGCACCTTTATTTGTTTGGTTAGAAATTCTTTTTACTTTTCGATATCGAAAAGATTTACAAAAAAGGGTGAAAGACAAAGTTGGCAAGGCGATTACTAAATTCAGAATAGAGCAACGCAAAAAGGTCGAATAATTGAAGCGTATTCCTCACTATAATCCGACTTTACAATTCATTAATTTTTTGGACATTGATCATTGATCAATTTATCTTTTTTTTAATCTGATATTCTGTATTTAAAGATTCTAAATTCATCTAATCATATTGAAATTAGAATCTTTATACTATATAATGCATTTATGTTTATATTCACAAAATTTGTAAAGAACAATAATTGTTTATCAGATTGAAAAGATTAAAAGATAAATTTTAATAAATAAATTTTATTATTTCATTTATCCTCAATTTAGAATTAGATTTTATGTTAAAAAAGATTACTTTTCACTATCTAATAATGCAAAATATCGAACCCGATATTGTAACTTTAAAAGATTGCAATTAAAAAAAAAAAAAATCAAGCACAGATAACTATATTGTTATAAGAATTTTATTACTTTTTTAAGCGTTCTGGAAACACAGTATCAGATAAATAAATGCATATATTAAAGACTTTTGTTTTCAATAGAAGAATCCTGTAAAAAAATTTCAAAAAATATATGTGAATACAATATCAGATAATAAATATATAAAAAAGATGTTCGTAATAAAAAAAAAATAAATAAATTACAGACCAAGAAGTTTTCCACCAATATGCTTTCGTCTAGCTTCGTGATGATCCATAATTCCAGCACTTGTGGTTAAAACTTTTTATAAAAAAGACGTGATTAGACAGTTGTATGGAAAAGACATTTGTATATTACAAACAAATAAATCTAGTATTATGTATTTACCTAAGTAACCAAACTGACGTGAAGGTAACAAATTGTTGACCCATTTTTCGAGATCCACTAATTTAATATTGAAGCGAGGTGATATGACTCCACATTTGTTCAGTCGACCGTTTAGCTGAATAACGATTTTTCCAGATCGATGATCATCAATTACTTCGAATTCACCGATATACTCTAAATGCGAAAAATCTTATTAATTAATAATGTAAATGACAAAATATAAATGTAGAAAGTACTAAACACCAAAACGTATGTTTACTGTAAGACAAATTGGCGTGTAAGATACTTTCTTAAACGTATTAATATTTCGAAGCATTAAAAAGCAAGAGTGAATAAAAATTAAAACAACTCTTGCTCAGTTATAACTTCGATGAATTAAGATAATCAAATGTTTTTGGAAGAACTACATTTAATGAATGAAATAATTTATTACCATGCTTTTGCATTACACTTAAAAATTTGATGACGACCTTAGACGAAGGTCGAACTAACACTTGACGTTTGCCACGTTTTTCTGCATTGACAATATTATTAAGACAGTCGTTCTAAAGCGATAAGTTATTAGTGCACGGTTCATAAGCACAATATTATCAACACCGTTAAGTAAATGTTAACATACCAAAACTGAAATTCTAACCATTGTGTCTTATGGATTTTTTTTTTTTTTTTTTTTTTTTTTTTTTATATACTGTAGGAAGATTTATGTTTGCAAAATCTACAGATCTATACACGAAATTTTTATGTCACGTGTGTATCTACAGGGACGATGATTTGCTGTGTTTTACAAAACACCGCAGAATATCACAGAATTCACAGAATTTTCTAAGAAAAAACAGCACAGAATAAATTCAAGTCGGCACCAGGAAATCCAGGAAATGTAGACAATAAATCAACGTAATTTACAAGCACGTCAGTCGGAAATTACCAAGAGATATCACAGAATTTCACAAAATTGTAAGAATTTAATCGTATTAAGTCGCAGAAATTACAAGAGATATCACAGAATTTCGCAGAAAATCATCGTCCCTAGTATAACGATAACGTGAGATCATTTACTGGTAACCAGATCGGGAGCATCAAGTTATAATTAACCCGAAACGTTCTATCCGGTACAGTGTTTAAATACAGAAATCTGAAATAGTTCTGTTAAACCTTTTTATTCAGGATCTTTGTTAAAAAAAGCATAATCTATATAAAATATATAAAATCAATGATACTAACGTACCAACAACTAATCAGTGATGTTATTACACGATTTTAACCAATCACATGAATTCTTCAATTTTTCAAAATCATGTGCATCCTGCATTATGTTAATGCAGGCCGGCTTTCTCGAATTATAAAAAAAAAAATTAGTCCTAAGAGCATTTTCGAAGCAAAATAGAATGCCACCAAGTGATTCTCATTTATATTATGAAGCGCTCTGCAAAAACCAAAGGAGGGGAAAAAGAGTCGGCATATATAAGGTGATTAATATGCTTTCGTCTGCTGTTGTTGCCTGATTTATGTATATTAAATAAATTACGTTTATAGGGATGTATATCTACAGCTTGAAAATGAACTCAAAAGGGAAATGGACCATTTGAAACTTATACTGGATCATATTGATAGTCAAAAATCAAAATTGAAAACTGAGGAAGCCGTTTTACTCGCAATGCTTGGTAATAATAGCGATATAACTTCCGAAGAAACGTCGTCTCCCTTATGTTTTACTGATTTAAATATGGAATCAGGGGTATGATATAACATGTTTATTTATATTCGCTCTTACTTTGAATTTACGTTACTTTATTAATAAGGTATGGCTTTTTATGATAGCTTAATTTAATCGGAATGTCAACCGCAGCGAACAATGATATTTCAGTGGAATCAATGAATTCATTTGTAGTTCCCGAAGTTCATTCTGCTTCTTATCAAAATTCACCTAGATCTTATGATATTCGGTCTTCAGAACCGTGCGGGTTGTATTCACCAACTATGCCAATTTTTGATGTTCCGGAAGTACCTGAATTCTCTTCGTTGGAACTACCTGACGTTGGATCATCTAATTTATTTGATCTACAAGGAGAACATATAAACCATAAATCAATAGATTTAGATATTGCCAATGCGTTGTCTATCTTAGAAAATATGTCTGATTGTGAGGCGGAAGATGTTGAACAGAATGCACATTCACCACAATCAACACAATCAATAGAAGAATCATGGAAAGATCCAACACAACAATCATCTACTTATAGTAGTGATGGAGATCATGAGATTGGTTAGTGTTCCATTCTTAATAACTATTCTGTATATTCTCATATTTATTAATATCCTTTTCACATTAGATGACGATGATGATGATGATGATGATAGTGATGACGACGACGATACGGCCCGAGAGGCCTTATCCAAAATGTTGGCAATTTATTCGTAGCAACAGTTCGCGTTTTGCATAAGAATTTTTTTTAGAGAAGATGATGCAAAAATTTTGTCAATCAACCCATTTTTAATTAATCAACTTCATATGCTACTGGTTGCATCAATTTTTTTAACGTAAATAAGAAGTAAGAAAAATAAAAAGCAGGTATGTTCTCTCAAGTTTGATGAAGTGTTTATTTAACAATTAGCTAATTTATATATCAACTATTTTATGTAAATAAGTAATCGTTTCATTTGAAAAAAAAAAAACGATTATTGTTAAGGAGATAGCTACAAATAATTTTTTAAATTGTGTTTGCAAGTATTCTTCAGAACAAAGAGTACTACCACTTTACATGCAAGTGCTTTTGGTATAAGAATAATGTTGATGCTTATAAAGAATTGTAATAAGGTAGACTATACTATAGTATAACTTTTATACAAAATAGGTATTTTGAATATATATGTAAATTAATCTTGAAGATAACTGAATAACTTAACGATGTTGTAATTTGAACTAATTGAATTAGATTTTAAAAATGAATAAATCTAACTATAACTAGTGGTGATCATCGCCAGGGTGTTTATATCTTAAAAACGTACTAAGTAAATGGGATCGGGTACTCTAAGTAAAAATGTTCAGAACTATAAATGCTGGTGAAATTAATTTCACCAATTCACCACCAATTTCACCAATAGTGGTAAAATTATTTCACTACATTACATCATATTTTACCAGCATCTATATTCAGAACTCTTAAAAACTTTATAAGAATTGAAATTGGAACCTTATGTTAGCTCTATATTATATTATAAAAAAAATTCTTAATATCCACATTCTAATCCTAAATATATCTAGAGGTGGTGATGATCATTATAGGTTATTTTAATTATATATATGGGCGCTTTTCAATAGAAAAGGGGTAGATCTCCATTTAGATCAAAAATTTTGAGAAAATCATGTTTTTTGTAGATCAAAACAACTACCGGTGACAAATAATGTAGATCAATTTTTTAAAATATTATTTATATATGCCATGTGATGTAAACAATTGTGCAATACACGTGACTTTTAATTTTTCACTATGTAAAAATCATGTCACACCGGTACTGTATACAGTACTAGATAATAAAGATTATTATTAAGCTAGCATAATTTAACTTTTAATTAGAATCATATATTTGGTTATGCTTTATTTAATAGGCCAAAAAAAAATTTTTAGCCAAAAAGTAGATCTACCCCCTTTCTATTGAAAAGCGCCCATATATAGTATATGTTTTTTCAGTGTTAAGGTGATTTTTTTGGCCTTATTTTTTTTATTAGAAGTTTTATTTTAAATACAATAAGAGTACATCAAGTTATACATGTACTTTTGGTGTCTAATTTAAGTTATTCATATCTAAATTATTTGTATTTCAACTACAGAAATATCTATTTAAATTCTCTAATTGTAATCCAATTCTACCATATGAGACTCCTAATCTCTAACTATTATTTATAGCTTTGTTAGATTTCGATTATGCTTTAAAGTAAAACCAATAGTCTTTATTTATTTTAATTATATTTTTATTAAAATATTGGTTATTTTATTTTATTTTTATTTTTTTTTAATTTAAGCAACTATGTTAATATTTTTTTTTTTTTTTTTTTTTTAATTCTTTAACAGTCTTGCTAGTACTCAATTTATTTAAGACTATATTTAGGTGAGAGTTAAACTCTCTCAAACAATATATATCATTCATAACCATAAACGGCGTCTAGCAATTGCGAGCCTAACATCACCCAGCTGCAATAAACGTGCCCACATGCGACTTGTCGCACCAACCTGTATACAAATTAGATAAACTTTGTCAGCCCGTCAAAGCTTTTCCCTTCATATTCTCTTTCTTTACCGAGAGCAAAAGAAAATGATGATTTTATATCCAATACAAAATCACTAATAATACCAAGAAGACAAAACAAAATACTCACTAAAAAAAACAAATAAAACAAAGGGAGAATTTTAAAGGAAAAATAAAAAGGGTACAATGAAATGCAAAAAAAGAAAATTAAAGAGAAAAGCCCGAGGGCCAACAAAGAAAACTACCTCTATCAAGAAGCAGTACAAATAGAATGAAGAAAAATACA